AAGAAAAGAAATAGTCGAATAAACTCGTTATTTTTGTTTGTTTTTTCGCACAAAAAGTATTCGCGTCGCTTGATAAACATATAGTTGAGCCACGGTAGTCACTTGGGATATTTAAACATTTTCTTCATTGACTTTCTGGGCCGTCAAGAGGCAGTCCCTTAGGAGCCAATGTGGTAGTTATACAGCTCTCAAATTTAATCAAAAATATCTTCATTTGTGTTCCGAAGACGAACGAAGGTCTTACGGGGTTGGTACAGCATGGGGGTGAGTAATTAATGACTTAATTTTCATTTTTGGGTGAACTAACCCTTTAAGTTAGAGTATAATTTAATATTGAACCAAACATGAATGACGAGTCACGCAGGTCCTGTGCTACTCCGCAGCGGTAAGACCAGAACCAGTATAAAATAGTCCGAATATAAACGCTTATTATAGGTGTACCACAGTGATTCAGGATAAGACAAAGCACGATTTGGACAACTGATACATGTACCCGCTCATTATATAAACCTTTGAACATTTTGAACACAAAAAGCTAGTAAGCACTAAAACTTTAAAACAAGACAACTTAGCCAGTCGCCCTCCTGTGGTGAATTGTGTGAATTACACTGCTGCAACTTATTTCTACAGCTGTGACTGCAGTCAGAGGAAAACTTTGAGTTACAATATTTTGTAACATTTAATAAATTGTTGGTTGCCATGTGACGCAGTAAAACATCTGGCAATTACCTTTCAAATTTTCTATAAATATATTTTACATCCGCGATCAGGAGCGGTTCTAGGGTGAGTGGATATCTGGGGCTTAACCCAGAGAAATCCATGTATGTGTCACGATACAGGAATAAACTTTAAATAAAATGTTTTTTTTAATAAGGTGAATATTTCTTGCTAATTAAAACTAAAAATCACAATTATTGTTTTAATAAATAGCATTTACTTAACAACATGATTTTTGTGAGAATAGATAAAAAGAGGTGACTAAAGAATCTCTATAATAACAACAAAAAAATCTTGACCCATTCTTCATGCACACATTACATTTTAAAGACTAATAAGTCTACCTACCTTACCTTTTGTGTGTGCGCCGTGCGTGCACGTCCTACTGACTGTGCTGCACAAAGTGTTTGACGATCAAAATGTATATCTGACAATCTAAAGAAAGAAATCTAATACTACGATTAAAAGTTACAGATACCTGCTGAAGCTGTTGTATCTTGTTTTAGTAATGGCTGGGGGCTGTAGCGGAGATAGCGTGGGTGCATGGGTGCGGCCGCCCCAGGGCCCCGTGCCAATTAGGGGCCCCTTAAACGCCGCCGATCTTGCGTCACAGGCGCGTTTTCATTACAGATTTGCGCAAAACTTTTGCGATATTTTCCAAATGTTGATAAAAAACGAAATGACGGTGTTTCCATTAACCGTTATGCGACTAAAATGTTTTTTTTCCTCTTGCGATAAGTCATTCCAAAAATCATGGCAGCGGACTTTGGTAGGTTTATTTCACATCCATGCACCGCACATTATTATTATTAAATGGAAGGAGACGTGGTGTGTTAATGGCAGGGAAGGACACAGAGTTCCTGGTGTTTATTCTCCCTTATTTCTGCTTCGATGTCTTGGCATTTCTTTGAGATTTAGAGAGGCTATTTCTGTAATTATTGTTTCTTTTTTTAATGAATAATATCTCGTATTATGTCCAAACGGTCGTTGCAAAATGAAAAATGAACGGTTGCTGTATTTTTAAAACACAAAGTTGAACACCAACATTTTAGTTTGACCACACCAATGTCTTTAAAAACTTTTTGGAGCCGGCAAGTTAGTTCCTTAGGAGTGATCCAGTTCTCAGATTTAATCAAAAATATCTTCATTTGTGTTCCGAATATGAACAAAGGTCTTACAGAGTTGGAACAACATGAGGCAGAGTAATTACTGACCGAACTTTAATTTTTGGGTGAACTAACCCTGCAGAGATTAGGGAAATGCAACAATTTCTCAGTTTCAACACTACCAGAAATGCAGCTGTATTTCACTATCTCTACTCCAAATGTTGTCAACAAAAAAACAACAACAACACATTGCTGAAAATACATGGAAGAACAGAGTTTTTCCCAACTAAACTTGTTGCAATTTTATCTGAACTAGACTGCTTCAAGACATGATAGGTACTTCTACTAAAATACTGGACCTATTACTTAAACTGTAGCCAGTCACTTAAAACATTCTTTACAGATTTAAACTGTGTGCAGAACCTGAATTAGTCCTTTATTATAACTAGAACTAGTTAGAAAGCCCTTTAAGCTCTATTGTAGAGCTGGTCATAGAGCCTCTTCACTTTTTTGGTCATGCCTTTTGGGTCCAGGTCCATGATGACTTTCTGGATGTACTCAAATGTCAGTTTCATTGTCTTAGGATACTCTAGATTGAAAGCATAAAGAAGGCCCAGAAGAATGGAAACACTCTTGTCTTTCTTTCTTTCTTTCTTTCTTTCTTTCTTTCTTTCTTTCTTTCTTTCTTTCTTTCTTTCTTTCTTTCTTTCTTTCGCACATCACAATTGTTACAATTTGCCGAAAAAAGAATTTGACCTTGTAATACATAAATCATTACAGTTCACAATTTCATAGAGAATAAAAAAATAAAGAAATATACATTAGCCAATAGATAGAGAATTGAAACACATATCATATAAGTAACAACTAATCTGTATAAAATTATAAACAACATAAAAGTACACAGCCAGAGTATCAGACAGTAAATATCAGTTAAATTAATTACAAAGTTAAATTAGAGAAATATTGCATACATTTTGATGCTGATTTACTATTTAATCCAGAAATACAGTCTATAATTTAAGTCAAGTTTAAAAACATTGAAAAGACGTTTGTTCTTCATAAATTTCGATTTATGAAAACTATATAAATGTAAGTTTGATCAAGTGTCCATTAATAAAACATTGTATATCATTCCCGAGAGAAGAGCATGCAACAGCTGTAGAAGAAATGCTCCAACGTTTCTGTTTCCAGAGAGCAAAAGCTGCATTTCTCGTCTACAGTCGGGATACATTTCCAAATAATCTTGTTAATAGTGCTGAAGAATTTTAAATGATATTTATTTTACTTTGTAATTATAAATGTATGTGGGTTACTCCATGCTCTATTCCCATTAATATTTCCATACAAGGGGACCATTTGTACCTGGAGGCAGGGAGAGATTTCACACATAAAAGCTTTTTATTACTTTGTTGTTGACTTTTCTGTCTAGAAAAGATAGACTATTTATTGAAACACTGCTGGAGAAAAATACATTAATTTGATCAAATCTGTCCATCTCTAAGTAGGGTGACGATCCCATGGGGTTTAGCTCTAGATACAATATCAAACTCTTTTCTTGCAGGATGGAAATTAACTTCATCATAAGTTATAATTTGATTTGAGTTATTTAATAATTGGGATACCAGTAGAATATCATGTTTAAAACAGTTTTCCAAAGATAAAGTTTGGATCAATGTTCCAGAAACTGTTTGGATTTTCCACAAATCTTTTAACCCAGTTGATTTTTAATATCTCATTGAAAAGTGAGAAGTCAATTCCCGATAAACCCGCCTCCTCAATTTTATTAGTCAAGATGTTTTTCCTGATTTTATGAGGCTTCTTCCTCCATATAAAGTTATATAATAGTTTGTCTAGATTGGCACATTGTAACTTATGAATTTTTGAAAATATTTTGCAATTGTAACAAAGTTCGTTGTTATAGGAAAGAGGAGGCGGGAACCAGCGAACATTCAACACTTTTAATAAGAAAATAAAACATCTACAAAAACGAAAGTGTAAGCCAGCAGCCCCTCGCGGACGACAGAAACAGAAGTTCAGGCCTGTTCCTCTCTCAATCTCCTTTTATGCTTCCGCTCCTCCGTGAGAGATGCGAGAGATACTGTGTGTCGCTCATTATCAATCAAACCACTCGTCCTGCTCGCCACAGCAATGTAATCGGCCATATTTGCTATGTCATGTGTGGGCCACTGTAGGTTCACCCATAGGCGTCCCCACCAGATTTCGTCCCTCATCTTTGCCAAAACTGGCCCTGATTTGTTTTTAAGATAACTGGGTCACATTTGCTGCAACATATGTGGGTCATGTTTGGTTTACACCCAGATTAGTCATTGTCGATTGTGCCACATTTTTGCCATAGGTGGCCCACATTTGGTTTATGATATTTGGGCCATATTCATTATTTATCATATGAGACACTTTAGGCCCACATTCAGATTACACATTGCCATGAGTGCCACATCTTTGCCTAAAAAGGCCCACATGTGATTTAAAATATTTGGGCCATATTTGCCATTTTACACATGGGCCACTTCAGGCTCACACACATTTTGTCGGGCCATAAGAAGGCCTGCAGTGCCGCATCATCGCCTGAAGTGGCCCACATCCGTCTGCTATCTGAGGAGCGAGTCAAACACACACAAATGCTGTTAACTGGGGAAAATGTTTATTCAGTCTGTAGAGGAGAAGTAGGGTGACCATATTTTGATTACCAAAAACCAGGACACTCGGCCCAGCAAACACATGGGCCAACTCAAATGATACTCGAAGTTTACTCAAAGATACCTTATTAATTTCAATACATTTAAAGTAGGTTATGCCTCCTCTGTATGGATAGAAAATTGTTATATTGTATATATCGTTATATGAAAACAGGACAGTTGGTCACCCTAGGAGAAGAGACTTGTTCAGACACTGAACAAAGACAATATACTGTACATCTGTGCATCAGCAACACACACACACACACACACGCACGCACACACAACTAACTAACTTCATATACAATAAAACAACAATAAATATATTCTGTGTATAAAATGTTACAGAGATAATGTAAATGTTTAAAAGTTTTAATTTAATCTTTATATCTTTTGAAACATTTATGTGCTATACTTGACAATCACGTTCATGTAATTAGAAATATTTGAATAATTCTGGATGAGTTTAGTCTAAACATTATTATATTTGCAGGCCTGATAGTGAAGATTTCTGCTGACACTCATCTGAGCTTCTTCCTCTGTTCCACCTTTAATTACAACTAAAGCATCATTTGGCTGAATAATAAACCAACATTAATCATTCAATATCACATGTTTCTAATACGCATGCTAACACACACGCTGCTTTATTTAATACTGAAGTCTGAGTCTCTTCCACCTGTATGAAACACATTTACACATGTATTTCTCCTCATAGACAGCAGTGAGACTCTTCTGTGGATCACCTGATGGTTTCTGCTCCTCTCATCTCCGTCTCACAGATTTAAACCTTGATGGAAATCCACTGACGTTTGGTGATCAATCTTCATCTACTCTGTAAAGTGGAACAGAAGAGAAAACAATCAGTGTTCAGTGGAACAAAGTGGATATTATAAATGTATTGTTTTTTGAGCAAAAATAAGTTGAAGTGAATTCCTGTAATCAGATTAATTACTGACTTTACATGATCTTGGATAGAGATATTTGTGTTTTTAAATATAATAGATGTAAATCCTGAATCATGTTCATATGTGTGTCTGTGTGTGTCGGTGCGACTCCTATTGAGTCTCTGTAAAGGAGAAACTAATGAGTGTACGGCGTATGGAATAAACCACAGCGAGCAAATACTAATGTTATTTTGAGTTAAACACAAACCTTTAGTTAAAGCCGTTTGTCCTCTAGTTTAAACATGTTTGTAGGCTCTTAGTAAATAACTGAGAGTAAAGTAAGTGTAGAGTAGTGTGACGTGTTGCTTGTCACAGTAAAAACACACTAGAGACAGAGACATTGCTCATGTGAGCTGGACGCTGTGAGCTGAAGCTGGAACTGCACTGATTTTAGCAGGAGTGCAGCGTTTCCTACAATCTGACCAAGTCTGTTTCACACTCAAATGATTCACTTCTACTGACACAGTTCATAAAGCAGGTGTTGATGTATAAAGCTGTGACAGTGAGCTTTTCTTCTCTTTCCTCCTTTGTGTTCAACATTTCAATAACTTCACATTATGTTCTCACACAAACCCTTTGTTGCAACAAATCTTAATGATAATTTCCTTTCATGAATATTTGAAAGGTTTGTTCACATATCAGAGGTAAATGAAGATGTCTTTAGTATCTCAGTGATGTTTCCTCACCTCAGGACACAGTTTGAGTCTCGTAGTTCGTCTCTGAGCCGCTGCTTTGAGTCTCCGATCTTATTGAGTCTCAGATTAAGCTCTTTTAAAAACTGCAGAGCTTTTGAGTTCGTCAAAGACTGAGTTAAAGAAGAAACATCTGTAATGTCACAGTACTGAAGACTAGAGAGACACAAACAGAGGAAGAGAGATTATCTTACAAACAAATCATGAATGTGAAGAATTTTACACAGATATAATGTGAACTCAGACTCACTGTCAGATCTTGAGAATAAAGTGTTTTAGTTTAATAAACCCAGAAAGTGCACTGCTATAACCAATGAAACAAAAGCCCTGCTGTCTTCAAATAAATAAACTTCAGTCACACTGTAATTGCTGTACAGTATAATGACACTAACTGTAGTTTCTCCAGCTTGAATTGTGGGTTCATCAGTAGATCACTGAGGTTTTTCACTCCAGAGTCTCCTAGTTCATTCCCGGTCAGGTCCAGCTCTCTCAGGTGTGACGGGTTTGATTTCAGAGCTGAAGACACATCAGAACAACCTTCATCTGTCATATCACACCAGCTTAACCTACATTAGCAAAGAGAGAGAGAGAGAGAGAGAGAGAGAGAGAGAGAGAGAGAGAGAGATAATGAAGAAAATAAGACACTCTTTATTCTGTAAAGTCACATCATCTTCATCAGCAAATAAAACAGAGGAAGAGAGATCTTCATCTTTATTTCACCAGATCACAAAATACTAAGGTGAAAATGTTTGTACAAATATAATGTTAATGTGTTTTAGTTTAAACAGTTGAAGTGATTTTAAGCATTTTGATTCTTGTATGTGAATGTGACTGACCTCAATCTCTCCAGTTTACAGTGTGAATCCTTCAGTACGGCACATAACTGCTTCACTCCTGAGTTTCCTAGATTATTCCTGCTCAGGTCCAGCTCTCTCAGGTGTGACGGGTTTGATTTCAGAGCTGAAGTCAGGATGAGACTCTGTTTCTCTGTAATACTGCAACTCCACAGACTGAAGACAGAGAAATAACAATAGTTCACATCTATGATGATCATCTTATTGAAGAGCTACAGCAGCATTTAGTTTCCAATAGTCTGTTTTAAAACCCAGTCACACTAGTTCTGTGCGCTGGAAGACACTGTTTCTTCTCTTTCATTTCTAACAATTTATTTGTCGTCTCTCTTCTTTATTCTCTGTTGAAAATGCAGATTTCTGTGTGTACACAATCAGTGCATTGTATCAGATGCTGGGAATTAAAAAAATACAAACTACACTCTACTAACTAGATAAAAAACTGTGAAAAGATAAAGAACTATAAAAAAATGTGAGCAATAAGTAAACCCCCATAAAGTGCACTGCTATAACCAATGAAACATAAGCCCTGCTGTCTTCAAATAAATAAACTTCAGTCACACTGTAATTGCTGTACAGTATAATGACACTAACTGTAGTTTCTCCAGCTTGAATTGTGGGTTCATCAGTAGATCACTGAGGTTTTTCACTCCAGAGTCTCCTAGTTTATTCTCGCTCAGGTCCAGCTCTCTCAGGTGTGACGGGTTTGATTTCAGAGCTGAAGTCACATCAGAACAACCTTCATCTGTCATATAACAGCATCTTAACCTACATTAGCAGAGAGAGAGAGAGAGACAGAGAGAATGAAGAAAATAAGAGACTCTTTATTCTGTAAAGTCACATCATCTTCATCAGCAAATAAAACAAAGGAAGAGAGATCTTCATCTTCATCAGATCACAAAATACTAAAGTGAAAATGTTTGTAGAAATGTATTGTGAAATTAGACTCTGTGAGATATTGCGTATAAATATATACTGATATATTGAGTGAATAAATGAATATTGAGTGTTTTAGTTTAAACTTTTGATTCTTGTATGCATGATATACAGTCTCTGAGGTAGAAGTGTGCCTTCGGAGCGTGTGATTGGCTGAATGTGAGGTGGAAGTGTATGGAAGTAAAATAATGTCTAATGTTTTTGAAACAAAAAGCATGTTGAATTGCACCAATTCAAAAAAAAGCATTGTGTTAACCCTGCTTGCATTTTAATCCATTGTATTTTTAAGGATTACATTTTTATTGGCTGAAATTCAACATGGCTGAATATTTAAGCTGTGAATATTTCAATTAAAAACATTTTTCATTATTAAAAATTCAATAATCCATATTCACCTTTCATATTTCACTTCCAAAATTTTCAAACTGTTAAAAAAATACAACCTATAATATTCAACAGGCAATTTTCGGTCCATTTTATTTCGCCTTGAAAATTCGCTTCCACAAATTCAATGGTTCAAATTCAACAGTAAATTCAACGGTGACATCCAGAAACTGCAGGAAAAGCAGTAGATTACTGAGCATACTCTCTATCTGCTGTTAGACGGCTTTACCAGCAGGGGGTGCACGCGCATGTTGAAAAGCACCAAAACAACAGGAGAGGCCTTCACAAAACGTCATTTGCTGAAATGGACAGAGCGACGAGTACGAGTTATAATTTATATGTGTGTGGGAAAGATTGATTAAGACACAAAACACACAAGCCTTTACTTTTACCCCCGTGCAAAGTAAGGTGATTTGTCCACTGCAAAATTAAATTCTCTCGCCGTTGGCATTGATAGTAAAACAGCTGTTATACACTGAGACAGAATTGTTTGTTGACGGAATACTAAATTTAATTTTTTTTTTTAACTTTAATGATGGAATAAATTGTTTTAAGTGTCAAAAACAGTCTCTCTCTCTCTCTCTCTCTCTCACACCAACACACTCTCCTCTCTCTCTCTCTCTCTCTCTCTCTCACACACACACACACACTAACACACTCTCATCTCTCTCTCATTCTCACACACACCAACACACTCTCTCACACCAACACACTCTCTCGCTCTCACACACACTAACACACTCTCTCACACTAACACACTCTCTCACACTCACACACTCACACACACACACACACACACACACACACACACGATTATCTTTGCCTCTTATCCTGTGATTGTCATACAGTATTGTAAAAGTATGGAAGCAAATGAAAGACATAACTATTTGAAATTTAACAGCCACTGAATACTTTTACTAGTTTTGAATACTAGTTTTGTATTCAATTTTATTTTGAAAAACATTTGTCTGAATTTATTTGCTCGGAATTTACCCCTTATAAATTATCTTACTTTGGAAACCATGCGTCTGAATTTATGTGTTTCAAATTTACCTCTGAAATTTAAAGGTGCAATGTGCAATGTCAAAAAGTTGAGTATCTATTACAGTTTTTCTCGATGGTTTACACACATTTCCTGCAAGTATGCCTCATACTCTCAGAACTCTACACACAAATCTAAAAACACTCACACAACCGGCAAAACCCCTCAATTCTAGCGCAAAATGAAACTTTACATTCAAAACAATGTTATATATTCTCAAAATGTTATTTTGTTTTCAAATGACACACACAAACCATCATATGAATAGACATTTATAAGAACCAGTTGAACACTGATGTGCTCAATGTAAAACACTATGATCAATGGAAAACACTTCTTCTCCATTCATCATAATGAATTGGGCCTTTTTTGTTCAGGGTTACACTTACTACAGACATTACATACATAAGTGTGTTATGTAGATGTTAAATAGATCGCACATTTCATACACCCCAATCAACACAAAGTTGCACATACAGTGGTCTACATACAAAACAACAGAAAAAAAATGTTTATGCTGTTACAGTAAAAATCTATGCTGCATCCTCTCTTTGGTTTTGGTATTATATGCTAAAGCTCTGATTGCTAATTGTAAAACTGTGTGACGTGTGTTTGTCCATATGACGAGTCAGTGTGAATATTTGAATGTCAGTGTGTTCTTCGTGAAAATAAGAGATTTTCTGCATGAAAATTGTGCCAAATGCAGAGAATTTGTGTGTAGTGTTTTGAAAAAAGTGTGTTTTAGAGCTGCAATTTGAGTGTAAAGCAGGAATTGTGCTTGTAGTTCAGCAGAATTGGTTCAGGGGGTTGGTGAATGAGTCACATGTTGTGGTCATTGTGTCTCAAGTACCAGAATTTGTGTGTAAACAATTGAGAAAAACTGTAACAGAAATGCAATATGACATCCATAACTATGTTTTCAGTGGTGTATAAAGAACTTACTTAATAAACCGTAATGTTTTTATTACCTTAGAGAGAGACATTTATATCTCCATAACCGCGGGAATCCCCTTCTATGAAGGTCGCCATATCGTGACGTCATCTTTCTACCGTAGCCGAACGTGAACAAACAGTGCTACAGAACGCGTTTCGCCACTACCTTGGCGGCAGAAAGCTAGAAACTAGCCATAAACTCTGTGAGTAGTGACTTTTCCCTTGTGAGTAGTGTAAAATATGTAGTTGGGATTGTTTCATGTAATTTAGTTCTCCCTCGCTGTGTTATGGGTTTGTTATGGGGATAAATGTGATGTTATGTTCGTAAGACAGCTGATTAGTACTCATGTCATTGATCGTAAAACAGTATGTTACAGGAATCACTAACCCGTCGATCTTGTAAGAGATCTAAGTCGATCGCGAAGAGTTTTCAAAATCAGAGAAAAAGCCTATTGTGTGTAGTTTATGGTGTCTATGGGATGCGGAAATGCGCACGCTGTTACAATCATGTCATTTTTGCCGCGCGCACCTTTGGGCTCATGCGGACGCGTCGAGTTTAAACAAGGCTTTATGCTTTAACCAGTTCAGCCACAGTAACAGCTCATATTAGCCAGCTAAACTTTTACTACCCTGTTAGAAAACATATATAGCTGCATAGTTTCATGCGGTTCTTCTCCCTCTCTGTTTTATGGGTTTGCTATGTGGGGAGAAATGTGCTGCTGGTTACGTTTGTGAGACAATCAGCTGATCACTATTATTATATTAAATTATATATTAAAACCTAGGGCTGGGCGATATATCGCAGGATATTGTTATGCGCATCTAATCAGTAAAGCCGGTTCCTTGATTAGCAGTAAATCACCTTCACATGCTTTCAAATGGACGATATGAGTGTTGAAGTTAATGAGATAATTAAGTGATTAATTTAGTGATGATTGAGCATTATTGAAGACACCTGATGATCACAAGCAGAATCGCTGAAGGACAAAATCACAAATTGTAAGTCACCGTTATGGAGATCAGTGTTTGCTTTAGTTGGGCTCTTGATCCTTATACTTTCACTTTAAATTTTGTGTCTGCTTTATTATTGATTAATAGCAGTAAAATAAGACATATTTGATCCTATAGTGTTGGTTATGTTTTGACATAATCATGCTGTGATCTGTAAAATGAAACTTTTCAGATGATTTGGCTTAACTTGTTAGCACGATTTTAGTGATTGTACTGCATATCTGTATTTTTCTTTTAAATTAATTGATAAATATTATTCTGATCAAATCACGTTCATGCTTATTTAGAAACACAGAGATCAATAATCAGCCTGTCTATCTCAACTGTGGTGGCGAAATTAATCATTGTTGCCACCCATCACAACTCATTAATGGCTCCCATCATGCATTGCGGTTTGAATAAATTATGATCTGAATTGTCTATGTAATTTACTTTTCCTACTTGAATATTCTACTCGTCACCGTTGTTGAGAAGCATTGACTGAATCTTGAGGTCTGTGTGTGCCTAAAGGAAGGGTTTTTTTCTTTTAAGCAACTTTTGAGAAAACTGTCTATTATATTAAACATTCTGGACAGCAGAATCTAAGTCATACACTAAGCAACAGAATAAATGATATGTTATAAATTTTATAAATAAACTTTATTATAAATTTTATATATATATATATATATATATATATATATATATATAATTACATAAATTTCAAATGATAAATGTCATTATATGACCAAAATCATTTTATTATTGTTTATTTTTCTTCATCTGATAGATATAACTCAGATGCAACAGCAAATTAAAATATAAAGTTAATAATATAAGGGTCAAGAGCCCAACTAAAGCAAACACTCATCTCCATAACAGTGGCTTAA